GCAGCCCCCCCCATAGCCGCGCGCCCGGGCCCAGCGCTCCCCCCGCCCAGTGCCGGCGCTCCCCCTGCCATGCGCCCGGTGTCAGGCCAGCCCCGAGCACCTGGCGGGCGCATGGAAATGCCCCCGCGGGCGCCATGTTGGGGACCACGGTGCTACACAGTCCTGTTTTTTGTTTCAGCTGCACCAGACTAACACGGCTACATTTCTACCACTATTCCTATTCTAACATTCTTACTGACCAGCTGATAGCAAATGTTCCATAATATTGATGTACAACTCCAAAAGTGGGAAAGCAGGTGAAGATGTTTAGGAAAGGAGAGGAAAAAGTCATTTCTGTATTTCCTTTTATTGAACAATTTTCTTTAATCTTCTGATGTACCAGGTTAGTTAAATTTGTTCTGAAAGCTACTCATTCCAGTTAGAAAGCAGTTGTTTTTCTTGGTGGAAAAAAGCAAATACAGAAGTAGCCATTGGTAAAGTGCTTTCAACAGAAAAAGCAATATAAATGCTAAGTTAAAATCCTGAAGCACAGACATGTTGTTTCCTCAGACAGGCTGAATACACATGCTGCATGCATTGGCTGGGAAGCTTATCATGTTTTGATGATGCAATAGGAGTTGATGCTGAACATGTTGCAGCAAATTTTCAAAGGGCTGCAGAAAGACTTTGTTCACAAACCCATTACATGTATGATTAATAAATGACAGCACTTATAGATGACATTTCATCTTCACAGAGCTCTACAAACATCAAGTTACTAATCTTCACAGAATCCTTTTGAAGTATGTGTCTTCTAGATCGGGAAAGTGACAGACAGTACAGTTAGTTTTTGCAGTGTGGACACACCATTTGTGGGAAGTCATTTGCAAACATTCAGGTAAATGAGGTTTCATTCACAAGTACAGATAATGAAAGTAAAAGTGTCATAAATCCTTATGAGAATATGTAACTGTATGGGGGCTTGTATGTGCTCCCACTAATGTTGGTGTAATTTTTTTTCTCTTAGGGATGTGAATATTCCATTGAGCAGTGTAAGTTACACCGACTTAAGTGCTGGTGTGGACAGTGCTTATGTCAGCAGGAGAGCAGCTCAGGGAAGTGGGAGCTTTCCTGTCAGCTCAGGGTGGCTTCACCAAAAATGCTACAGCGGCACAATATCTCTTGTCCAGACTAGCTTGAGAGTTCACTCCCAAAGCATTCTTATGGACACAGTGATGCTGAAATTGTTATTAGAATGGTTCAAGGCTCAGCTCTGGAGATATAGAAGATTGTAGTTTAAATTTTTAAATTTATATTGATTCTGTACAGGAAACCTGTCCCCCAAACAAATTAAAATTGGTCTGGGAGCACTTTATAGGTGACTCCAGTCATCTGAAGAAGTGGGCTGTGCCCACGAAAGCTCATGATACCATCTACATGTTTTGTTAGTCTATAAAGTGCTACCAGACCATTTGTTGTTTTTTTCTGCAACAGACTAACTCAGCTACCCCCTGAAGCTCCTGAAATTAAAATGGGATTTTCTATCTTGTTTGATGTATTAGTGTGGTTTATTATCTATTGTGAATTCTTATAATGTAGTTTCCAGGTTGGTTTGGGCAGAGGAGGAGGAACTATTTTACTGGCAAGTAGAGATTTTTTTCTAAAATGGGTGGCTGCTAGAATCTTAGAGCATTGGAATAAATAATATTGAAATGCATTAGCCCTTGTCCAGATTAGGAAAACAAACTATGGTTGAAATTGTATTACTATTCCATGAGGCTAGACCACCACCAGTCAACATGCACAAAAGGCATTAAGTTGTGTCTACAGTAGGGGCAAAGATGTAGTTATAATTTTATTAGCTAAGATTGTTAGCTCTTAGTTGATATCCTGTTAGCTCTTTTATCAATCTAGGCAAGGCTTTAGTGGACAGAGGTGGTCAAAGATGCATGTTAAAATGTATTTGCTATGAATGTTGCCTCCACTTAGTATTATATGGGGTAAATATGTGGAGGAGTTATCCAAGTGATAAAATGCAGAATCATGGAATAAAGTTAGAATGCCTTCTGTTTTACAGTGATAGAAATGTAGCCGTGTTAGTCTGGGGTAGTTGAAGCAAAATGCAGGACAATGTAGCACTTTAAAGACTAACAAGATGGTTTATTAGATGATGAGCTTTCGTGGGCCAGACCCACTTCCTCAGATCAAATAGTGGAAGAAAGTAGTCACAACCATATATACCAAAGGATACAATTAAAAAAAAGAACAAATATGAAAAGGACAAATCACATTGCAGAACAGGAGGGGGATGCGGTGGGGGGGAGGAGGAAGGAAGGTAAGTGTCTGTGAATTGATGATATTAGAGGTAGGGAGAGTGGGATGTTTGTGAGTTAATGGTATTAGAGGTGATAATTGGGGAAACTGTCTTGGTAATGGGTGAGATAGTTCAAATGTTTGTTAAGTCCTTGTTGGCAAGTGTTTTACAGGCTGGTATCTCCTGTACCTGCATGCATGGGAGTTTTGTTACATTCAGAAAGAGAAATTTCCTCCCCTTTCCAATATGACCAACTTTCTCTTCTAGCCAGGGAATGGCATGAGAAATTAGTCTGTAAAATCCTGACATTCTATATAGAAAAACTCATAGACTCATGGACTTTAAGGTCAGAGGGGACCATTATGATCATCTAGTCTGATGCCCTGCACAACGCAGGCCACAGAATCTCACCCACCTGCTACTCACCTATATCTCAGATATCTCAGTCCTCAAACTGTTGTTTCTTTGTAGACATCCAGAAAATATTTTCTCACACATATTTTGTTTAACTAAAGCCTCATCAGCAATTTTTCAGCACATCCTTAATTTTAAGCCTATGCTTAAATTTATCAGTATTTAACAAAGTAGGTAATGTACATGCCTTTGCAAAACAAGTTTTTAGGGTGGGCCTAAGCTTTCATAAGAGAAGGGATACAAAGTATGGTTCTAATGAAATATTTGAAAACTCTCTCTAAAACAGTGCTGGAATAGTTTGTCTGCAATATATACCGAATACATTAAGCTGTGCTGTAAGGTTTTTGGCCCCAATCCTGCAAATACCGTTCGGCTAATCATGCTCTGCTTGAAGCACACGAGCTGTCCAATTAGAGTGCTTGGGTGCTTTGAAGTTAAGCACACAAGTGGCTGCAGGCTTGAGCCCACAGTCACTGGTGGCTTTATTACTTGCTGTGTGTCGATGGTGATTTTACTGAGATGTTTGTGGTGTGTTTTCTTCACAACCTCAGCTCCGAGAACTCTGCGTGGGAAAGGAGAAGATTTTTAAGGATAAGTGTTTTAAGACACACACGGCTTAAAACAAGGGAGGGAGGGAGGTAGTCTATAGCCCTCGTGTCTCCAGCGAACCGATCGACGCGTAGAGACACCACTTTTATTGTCTTTAAAAACTGCATGATCACAAGGGCCCTGACTCACGGCTGGTGTAAGGTGCGGGACGGTAACTTCATGCAAACACAACTTTTAACTCAACCTCCCCTCCACGCGTACGGACAGGAGCGGGCTGCAACGTTGCTTACTGGAGGCCATTGGCAAGCCACGGGGTGGTATTTGAAAT